TAGGAAGAGACAGGAGAGGCAGAGAGATAGAATAGAGAGACTGAAGAGATGCAGAGAGAAAAGAGATGCAGAAAGACATAGAGAGACAGGAGAGAGAGAAACTGAAGAGATGCAGAGATAGAATAGAGATAGAAGAGACAAGAGAGATGCAGAGAGAACAGAGACAGAAGAGATGCAGAAGACATGCAGAGATAGAATAGAGACAGATAGGAGACAGAATAGAGACAGAAAAGAGATGCAGAGACAAGAGATGCAGAAAGAGAGATAGGAAGAGAGAAGAGATGCAGAGAGGCAGAGAGATAGAGAGACAGAGATGCAGAGATAGAATAGACAGGAGAGATGCAGAGACAGAAGAGATCCAGAGATTGAGAGATGCAGAGAGAGGAGAGACAGAAGAGATGCAGAAAGAGACAGATAGGAGACAGAAGAGAGAGGCAGAGAGAATAGAGAGACAGACGAGAGATGCAGAGATAGAATAGAGACAAAAGACAAAAGAGATGCAGAAAGAGAGATAGGAGAGACAGAAGAGATGCAGAGGCAGAGAGATGGAATGAAGAGACAGAGATGCAGATAGAATAGAGACAGAAGAGATGCAGAGGCAGAGATAGAGATAGAAGGGAGAGACAGAATAGAGACAGAAGAGAGGTGCAGAGATAGAATAGAGAGACAGAAGAGATGCAGAGACAAGAGATGCAGAAAAAGACAGGAGAGAGACAGAAGAGAGATGCAGAGGCAGAGAGAGAATAGACAGAAGAGATGCAGAGATAGAATAGAGACAGAGAGATAGGAGATAGAAGAGAGGAGACAGAGATGCAGAGAGACAGAGAGATGCAGAGATAGAACAGAGACAGGAGAGATGCAGAGACAGAGATCCAGAAAGAGATAGAAGAGAAATAAGAGATGCAGAGAGAGATAGACAGAAGAGAGATGTAGAGGCAGAGACAGAAGAGAGATACAGAGACAGAAGAGAGATGCAGAGAGATAGAAGAGAGAGGGAGACAGAGACAGAATAGAGGCAGAAGAGAGGTGCAGAGAGAGGCAGAGAGATAGAATAGAGAGACAGAAGAGATGCAGAAAGAGACAGATAGGAGAGAGGCAGAGAGATGCAGAGAGGTAGAGACAGAAGAGAGATAGAGATGCAGAGAGAAGCAGAGAGAAATAGAAGAGAAACAGAAGAGATGCAGAGATAGAATAGAGAAAGAAGAGAGAGATGCAGAGAGAGGCAGAGAGAAATAGAAGAGAGACAGAAAAGAGATGCAGAGACAACGGAGATGCAGGGAGAGATAGGAGAGACAGAAGAGATGCAGAGGCAGAGAGAATAGACCGAAGAGATGCATAGAAGAGACAGATGCAGAGATAGACAGATGCAGAAAGAGATAGAAGAGAGACAGAAGAGAGATGCAGAGGCAGAGATAGAATACAGAAGAGAGGCAGAAGAGAGATGCCGAGATAGAATAGAGACAGAAGAGAGATAGAGAGGCAGAGAGATAGAATAGAGACAGAAGAGATGCAGAGACAAGAGATGCAGAAAGAGATAGGAGAGAGACAAAAGAGAGAGGCAGAGAAAGATAGACAGAAGAGATGAAGAGATAGAGATGCAGAGAGAGGGAGAGAGACAGAGAGACAGGAGAGAGATAGAGATGCAGAGACAGGGAGACAGAAGAGATGCAGAGACAGGCGATGCAGAAAGAGAGAAGAGAGACAGAAGAGAGATGCAGAGAGAACAGAGACAGAAGAGATAGAAGGGAGATGCAGAGATGCAGAGAGATAGAATAGACAGACAGAAGAGATGCAGAGACAGAGATAGAGATGCAGAGATAGAATAGAGACAGGAGAGATGCAGAGACAGAAGAGATGCAGAGAGAGATAGGAGAGATGCAGAGGTGCAGAGATAGAGGTGCAGAGAGAGAGATAGAAGAGACAGAAGAGATACAGAGACAAGAGATGCAGAAAGACAGAGATAGAATAGAGACAGAAAAGAAGATGCCGAGATAGAAGAGAGACAGAAGAGATGCAGAGACAGAAAAGAGATGCAGAAAGGGACAGAGAGAGAAGAGAGACAAGAGAAACATAAGAGAGATGCAGAGAGAGAAGAGAGGGAGACAGAGACAGAATAGAGACAGAAGAGAGATAGAGATACAGAGAGAAGAGATGCAGAGAGAGAGAGATAGAAGATAGACAGAAGAGAGGCAGAGAGAATAGAGACAGAAGAGAGATGCAGCAAGACAGAGATAGAAGAGATAGAATAGAGAGACAGAAGAGAGATGTAGAGACAGAGGCATAGAGATAGGCACAGAGACAGGAAAGAGAGGCAGGAGAGGCACAGCAGAAAAGAGGCTTAGGCAGAGGTAGAGATAGGCAGAGACAGATATAGGCATAGTGAGATAGGCACAGATGGAGACAGAAGAGGCAGAGATAGGCAGAGCAATAGAGATATAGAATAGAGACAGAGATACAGAAGAGAGATGCATAGAGATAGGCACAGACAGGCAGAGAGGCACAGATACAGAATAGAGACAGGTGCAGAGACAGAGACACACAGAGACCAAGGCACAGAGATACAGAAGAGACAGAGACAGAATAGAGACAAAGAGGGGTAGTGATACAGAAACAGTGGCAGAGAGACAAAGTGGCAGAGAGCCAGAAGAGAGACACAGATAGAGAAGCATAAAGAGACAGGCACAGAGACAGACAGGCGCAGAGAGACAGAGGCACACAGTACCTGATGTCGGCTTCCGAGAGACAGGATCCAGTTTCAGAGCTCGTTCAGGTACTTCTCTCTTTTGTCTGTTTCCCTCCTTCCCACTTAACTTACAAGAGGCAACTCTGCCCACACACACTTTGTGTTACTTCTCACCTTTATGTGCCGTTTCTGATGGCTGTTCCAGATTTTTAGTTCCCCAGAAACTCTCAACAAAACCTTTATTTCACTTGCACATGAAAAGTGGCTCGAGCTAAAGAATTCTCTCACTGGATAAAGGGGTCTTTAGATCAGACCTTCATTATCATCACACAAAACACCTCAGTGCTGCTCCATAACTGTAATATCCGCAGGACAACATGGGCAGTCTGGGGTGGCTGTGTTTGCAGCGGGTCGCAGTACACAAGAGGAAACTCGGGAGTTGGTATCTTTCCCTTCTTCCTTCTCCAAGAGGGAGAGGGGCCTCCCTGGTGGCGCAAGGGGTTAAGTCTCAGCAGGACGAGGCTCAAGGAAAGAGAGACAGAGGCACAGAGACAAAGAGAAACAGACACTGTCTCTGCATCTCTTTGTCTCTCTTTACAGACACAGAGACAGATTACAGGTACTGTCTGTCTCGGAGACAAACTGGAGAAAGATACAGAAAGACACACAGTCTGTCTCTGCCTATTTCTGTGTCTCAGTCTGTCTCAGACGGCCTCTATCTCTGAGAAGCAGAGAGAGACAGAGATAGAGGCACAGAGTCAGAAAGAGACAGAAGCACAGAGAAAAAGGCAGAGGCACAGCCAGTGTAAGAGAGAGACAGACTCTGTGTCCATGCCTCTGTCTGTCTCGACAGACAGCGATACAGAAAGACACAGACGCAGAGACACTGTCTCTTTCTGTCTGTGTGTTTCTCTGCGGGGTAGACAGAAACACAGAGGCACAGGAGAGACAAAGACAGGCACAGAGCGAGGCAGAGACAGCCTTCTGGCCAGGTGGTACATGAGTGTGAGGGCGGTGTCCATTGTGGCGCAGCCTGGAGCGTGCGCAGCGTCCTGGGGGTGTCTGCGTGTGTTTAACCCCTGGCAGAGAAACGAGCACACCAGCCGAGACCCAGAACCAGCACCCAGAATGGCCAGCGGCCGGCCGGCCCGCACGCCCGCTCACCCACGCATGGCCTTCCCCTCTGTGCAGGTGGTGAAGATGATGATGGTGGTCGTGGCCACGTTCGCCGTGTGCTGGCTGCCCTACCACGTCTACTTCATCGTCACCGCCGTCTACCAGCAGCTCAACAGGTGGAAACACATCCAGCAGGTGTACCTGGGCAGCTTCTGGCTGGCCATGAGCTCCAGCATGTACAACCCCATCATCTACTGCTGCCTCAACAAGAGGTGAGCACGGCACGGTGGGGGGGAGGAGAGGGGGGCGTCAGGCACCCGCACCTGGGCGGGGGGGAGGAGATGAGATGAGACAGAAGGACAGAAGCAGAGAACGAGGAGACAGACAGGCTGACCTAGAGGAGACAGTCTCAGACAGCGAGAGAAAGGGAAGAGACGGAGACAGGCTGAGACACAAAGGGACAAAGACGGACACAAAATGACAAAACACAGGGACAGGGAGAGAGGAACCAGCGACAAACTAAGTGGACAGACACCAGGACAAGAAAGAAAGGGCAGAGACAGACACAGACAGGGACTGAGGACGCAGAGAAGGACGAGACAGGAGACTGGGGGATGGAGGAGAGGCGCTCCATCTAGACACACAGGCAGGCCAGAGCTGAGAGTCAGAGAAAGGGAGACGGACCCAGAGAGAAGCAATGGGAGTGACTGAGGTAGGAAGAGAAACGGACCTAGAAATGAAACATGGAGAGAGACAGTGACAGCCAGAGCGAGATCGGGGAGGACAAGAGAGGCGCACTGGAGGGAAGGGGCCAGGTCAGATGGAGACAGGGCCCAGCCGGAGATGCAGGGACGGTGAGAGTGACCGGGCCCTCGGACACCACGAGGCGGAGGCAGATAGACAGACAGGCGAAGAGGGATGCGGAGCCGGGAACACATGCGGGTGGGGACTGAGATGGAGACAGACAGATCAACAAGGAAACAGAATGAGACGGCAGTGAGGAGACCCAGCGACAGAGATGTGGAGAGAGACGGCGAGACAGACAGACGGAGTGAGAGACACGGAGACCCGAGTGGGACAAAGACAGCAGCAGAGGCGGATGGAGACAGCAGAGCGCAAGGAGACGGTGACAGGAGACGGGGCACAGGGGGCACAGGGACACCGGAGGCCCAGATGCTGAGGCAGAGTGAGCACAGTGGGCGACAAGGGCAGATGATGAGACGGGGGGTCGGGGGACAGAGACTAAGAGACGAGGCGGAGGCGGCCGCACACAGAGGGAGGCGGGTAAGACTGAGGTGAGACGCTGAAAACACAGGTGCGAGAGACAGGCGGGCTGCAGCCAGCCCAGGAGCGGAGCCAGAGCAGAGTGCGACGGACGCAGGCTGGCCTGGCCCGCCCCACGCGCCTGACCCCGCCTGTCCGCAGGTTCCGAGCCGGGTTCAAGCGAGCCTTCCGCTGGTGCCCTTTCGTCGAGGTCTCCGGCTACGACGAGCTGGAGCTCAAGGCCGCCCGGTTCCGCCCCACGCGGCAGAGCAGCCTGTGCACTGTGAGCAGGATGGAGGCCGTGACCATGGTGCTGGACCCCAGAGAGGCCGACGGGGCCAGGTCCACCCGCAAGAAGCGGGCGGCCCCCAGGGACCCCAGCTCGAGCAGCTGCGCCCACAGAAGCACCACGTCTGCCGCTACTTCGAGCTTCCCCTCGTCCCCCCACCCCTCTGTGGGTGAGCGCCCCCAGGCCACCCCGCCGGCCACGGGCAACACAGCGGCCCGCTGAGCCTCATCCGCCAGCTCTCGGCCCGCGGAGCTGCACCCGCACTCGGGCCACCGCCACGCTGACCGAGACCCGAGCTGTGTGGGAGATGCCTGCTGGTCCACACGGCGGAGCAGCGTCCAGGACTCATTTTCTCAGTGATAGTGACCCAAAAGGAGGGTGAGAACTTTCATCCAGGACGTTCATTTTGTAGAATGAAAATGTCCAAATACTTTTAAGATCCCCTGAAAAATGTAATTAAAAGGAAATGTAGCCGCATCCTTGGTGTGTGTGTCCGTCTTTCTGCAGTGGTTGGGCACAGTGGAGCCTGTTACAGCTGACCACTTAAAACCGTCTCGCTAACAGTTACCTTAACTCAAACCACCAGTGGAGAGCAAAGATCCCGCAGCCAGACAGGTGCTCCACTCAGAGTAGGGCTGGCGTGGGTGCGGCTGGACACGCCCGGGGCGCGTGGGGCCTCCCTGCAGCCCTGAGCATGTCCCCGAGCTCAACTTTTCAAGGAAAGGAAGATGATCCACTTTCTTCCAAGTCCCGACAAGCGGGCAAGTGAGCTTGCTCGTGAGTAGCACCGTGTGGGTGGGAGCCAGGGAGCGCCCCTCTGCCCACTCCCCCGCCCCACCCCAGCGCAGCATCCAGAGGAGGTGTCCAGCCCCCATCGTGGTCCCGGCTGGACTCAGTCCCCAGGTTGTGGCTGGGCCCGGGGAGGGCTGCCAGGCAGTGAAGTCGACATGGTCTCGTCCCAGAAGGAGCAGCTTTGGGGTACAGAGGTCAGCTGCGCTCTTAGGCAAGGTGCAATAAGGTGCACCCCTTTAGGCTGATAAAGTGCAATTCAGCGAGGGGCTGCGCACGCTGCATTTGGCGGCTGTCCCGCCCCAGGGAGCCCCTGGGTGTCTTCCTCAGGGCTGTCTCCCTGGTGCCGTGGCCCCGCTCACGCCAGCCCCACATGCACGAGTCCAGCCCTCGGGCAGTCGGGGCACCACAACTCAGGGCGCCCCACACCCCTCTGCTTCACCCCTCTCCCTGCTGCACACCTGGCCGGCCCCGCCCGCCACCTCCTGCCTGGACTGCCATTGTGGGCAGCGCACGCCCGGCCCTATCCAGCCGCCACTGCGCTCAGACCCAGCCCTGATGCGACCCTCCTGGCTTCCAGGCTTGCAGCTTCCTCAGTCTCCGCTCCAGCTGCCCCTCTCCCCACAGCATCCTCGCAGGCGTGCACGGCAGCACCCTGGTTTCCTCACATCTTTCCCAGTGACACCCATCCGGGTTCTCACCCCACACTCTTCTGCCCAGTTCTCTATCCTGCTGTTTCGGCATAACGTGTATCACATCCAGAACGCCAAGTAACGGGCTCCATCATATTTACTTTTACCCCCTATGCTGACATGTGAGCTTCACCAGGGAACATGCTCAATAATAACTCTGTCTGTAGAATACATTTTTAAAAAACTAGAAATAACACATGAATTTCCTTAGGAAAAAATTACAGATCAGTGACCTTCAAGTTGAGAAGAACCAAAGAAAATCCACATCCAGACACTTTAAACTAGTAGAAGCCTAAATAAACAGAAAAAAAATCCTGCGAACATTAAGAAAATAGGGACAGATTTCACGCAGACAGTAACCAACAGACATTACGACCTGTTTCAATACATAAAGCCCTTTGTCTCTTGTGAGAGCCTAGCTCGCCAGGAGACGTAGCCATTGTAGACACGAGCAGCTTCCCACAGGGCTCCCACAGTAAAAATGAGATGGCGAGAAATAAACAGCCACCCAGGAGTGGGCACTTTAGTGCCCACACGTAGTAATGGACAAAGACCTGCACACACACACAACCTGACACACCACTGAAACAGCTGGGCTGATCCATTTATACAGCCGTTCACCCAGAACAGCAGGAAGCAGAAATTACTTGAGAGAAAATAACTCAAAAACGCATGCACTGAGCGTTGTGCTAGGAGAAAGGGAGCTCTAATCCCACAGTAAACATGAGAGGTGGATGATTTAAATGTTTTATAGTGAGGAGCTACTACAGGAAAACTAGCTTCCAAGAATTAGGACAGATAATCAACAAACCCAACTGTTTTTAAATAATCAACAAATTTTACCAAACTTTACTTAGACTGTAAATGAAAAGTACACTAAAATCTGAAATCAGAAGAGTGGAGACAGTAGCCACTGACCTTCCAGAGAACTAGAACAGTGTGAATAGTTGGACACCAACAAGTTCATGTTAATCTCATTTAAATTACAGATTTCTAAAATCATGTAAATTACCTAAACTTAGTAAAACAGAGGAGAAAATCTCAAATAGAAGTTGGGATTTTTTCCCTAAAATTTATTTATGCATACAGAACTGGCGGTGAGAGGATTCCCCAGAAACACAGTGGGGAGCAGAACAGGCAGATCAACGAAGTACACTGCTGAGGGGAGCAGCGGGCGGGTCAGGAGAGGTCTGCTTGTCATGTGGGTCACTCCCTGGCCAGGGACTGAACTTGCACTGAAGCAGCTGTGCCTCCAGGGAGGGCCAGAATTGGTTTTTTTAAAACCCACCCGAACAAGTTTGAGACTTGATGTCTTCACTGGTGAATTCTATCAAGCATTAGTGAAATCACAAGACCAGTCCGATCGCTCACAAAGTGGGAGAGGAAGGAGAAACCCGGCTCATCAGAGGCCAGTGTCACTCCGATCCCAAAGCCAGGGAAACTCACAGAAGTCACACTCCAGTGACTCAAACAGCTCACCTCGAGGCACAGAGGGGACTGGGCAGGGGCGACACGGGGTCCCTCAGCCCCCCCACACACACACCCACAGCCCGGCCACAGCACAGCCAGGTCAGTGACCCCTCGGGAGCCAGACGGCAGCACAGAACAGCACCACATGCCACTGTCTCCTCGTGACACAGGCTGGGTTCATCCTTCAGAAGATGCAGGGTGGCTGCGGGGTCAGAAAACAAAGCTCGCATCTGTACTGCCCCCAGGGGCCTCACCTGAGTGCCAAAGATAAGTGTAGATTCAAAGTGTAAGTCAGAAAATAACCCTGGATGCAGAGGGGCCTCCAAAACAGCAGACAGACACATTCGACAGGCAGAACCAGCCTCAGACAAGACGGCAGCGAGGAAGGAGGATGCTGCGCGTGACTGAGGGAGGCGCAAAGGAGGCCGCCCAAGGCGCGCAGCCAGCAGAGGCGCGCGGCGACTCATGTGCACCTGCAGCCGACCTCCGGGCCAGCAGCAGCAGCACGGGGCTGCAACACCCCTAGCAACAGCCAGAAGTCAACAAGAAGCAGTAGGTGAAAATGAGGATTTGAACACAGGGCTGAGTGGCCACACGGCACAGGCTGGGCGCACAGCAAGTGTCAGGGTGATGCAGGGCCGGATGGTATCACCGTTGCAAACACAAAAGGCAAGAAAAGCCCCCGACGTCTGCGGAAATGGACCGTAACTCGGAATACACCAGAAATGAAATAGAATGGAAGCCCAGGCAACAGCCTCCAGCACAGCAAAGCAGCACATCTGGGAGCAGGGAGCACGGGCCACACCAAGCAGCAAGAGGGCCCACAGGACCCCCGCGGTTCCCCTTTGGGACCTAGAAAACAGGAACAGAATCCAGGACGGAAAAAAAGATTAATGAAGCTGATGGGGAGGCGGAGTGAAACAGATAAGCTATAAAGGAACACTCACTAGGCTGACATCAGCCTACGCTGAAGAAACACCACAAGCAAGAGGAGAATAGAGTGACATACTCCAAAAACTCCAACACAAAATGCCAGCCAAGGATATGTTATCACTCCTTCCTATATGAAGAAGAACAAGGACCCTCTTGGACAAACAAAATTTTGCAGAATTCACTGTGATTAAACCTCAACTCCAAGCTATAGTAGAAGGAGCGTTAGGATCTAACTCAGCAGATGAACATGAAGAACTGAACAAGGAATGACACAGAACCACAAAACAATCAACAAAATGCCGGTAATAGATTATCGCCTATCAATACGCCTCCTAAATATGAATGGACTAAATTCACCAATAAAAAGACAGTAGCAGGTGAAAACAACCCAACCTTCTGCTGCCACCTGAAAGCACAGCTAAGTTCCAAAGATAAGCATCAAATGAAAGTAAAGGGCAGGGGTCAAGTCTATAAGCAAATGGCCTCCAACAGAAGACGGGGACAGCTGTGCTTACAGCAGATAAAACGGACTTGCAGTGAAAGAGGTGAAGGAACATCAATGGATACTATAGTGATCAAGGGGGCCGTACACCAGGAAGTCATAACACGCATCAAAATATCCTCACCAAATGAGGGGAAACCAAACACAGTGGGCCATGACTGTCGTCTCTGAAAACAGACACTGGGAAAAACACACCTGTGGTAGGAGTCATCAAGACCCCACTCTCACCAATGGACAGATCAATGAGACAGAAAATACCCAAGGACACAATCATCCTAAACCAAGATGCAGACACAGCAGCACAGACATCTATGGAACCTTGAACCCTCAAAAAATGATTACATGGTTTTCTCAAGTGCACACAGATCATTCTCCAAGATAAACCACATATTGGGTCACAAGACAAACATCAAGAGGACAAAGATCGAAATCATACCAACTATTTCTCCGACCATAAAGGCATCCAACTAGAAATCAACCATGAAAAGAAAGCAAGAGCACCCCCATTATGGGGGTACGGAACGGCACACTGCTCAAAGGCCACTGAGCTAATGAAGAAATCAAAAGAAATTAAAAAGTACCGTGGGACAAAGGACGATAAGAACACAGCCTTCCAGGTGTATGGGACACAGCAAAAGCAGCACTAAGACGTAAGTATAAAGGTAAACAGGCCCAAATCATGAAACAAGAATGAACCCAAGGAAACAACTTAATCTGCCATCCTGGGAAATAAGAAAAAGAACAAAATAAACTCAAAAGACAAGAATAAAAATTAAAGCAAAAATAAGTGAAAAAAATAAAAATAAGTCCAAAAGAGCAAAGTAAGCAAAAGCTAGTTCTTTGAAATAAAATAAGCAAGCCCCTAGCCAGGCTCACAAAGAAAAAGAGAAAACTCCGATAAATGGCATCATACGTGAAGAGTAGTTACCAGAGACACAGTAGAATCCAGAGGAGAGATGACTGAGCACTTACATGCCAGCAAGTTCAGCAATCTAGAAGAGATGGACAAAGTCCTAAAGTGACACAGTCACCAAAGGCTGAACAATGAAGAATGACCTTGCCAAGCCCATTACAGACAAGGACAT